GAATATTAGTGGCGGAGGGCGTGTCAGTTTGTGTGTGCATCTGAAGGTGAGAGACTGTTTTATCTCAGTTCCCATGATCCCCTTCCCCCTGAGGCTCCATTCATCTCTCACGGTTTCCAGTGGGGTATGTCACTCAGTCAAACCTGCTCTCCAACAGGGTAAATACATTGCGTCTGACCGGCCCCAGCACACATAATTGACCTAAAACTATGTCATCTCTGCTCAATGCTGTATTTACCAGTGCTCTGCAGCATGACTTCATTTGAAGACTACAGTCATGAGTTTCTAACTAGCAGTTTTTGTACACCCACGCACTGCAAAAAAAAAAAAAAAGACTTCTTAATTAGTCTTTTTTTTTTTACTTGATTTCCAGTAAAAATCTTTTAAAAAATATAAATCTTTTGAGAAGCAGCACTTCACAAGATGTTAAGAACTTTTAAGAATTTCATAGAGTGCATTTTTAACAAGTATATTTTATCTATTTTATCAGTTTTTTCCCACTTGTTTTAAATTACTTATACTTAAAAGTATAATAAATAATAGCCGATTATACTTGGTCCCAAATAACACCCCTATTATAGTTTAAAAGTGAAAGGGGTGGTTGATTGCGATTTAGCTTTTTTTTTTAAGTTAGTGTATAATGTTGCTGTTTGAGCATAAACAATATCTGCAAATTTGTGGCGCTGAAAGTTCAATGCAAACGGAGATATCGTCTTTTAAAATTCTGGCAGTTTAATGCCTACAAAAACGGCTCGTAGGGACTACACAATGAGTTACTTCCTGGGTTTGTGACATCACAAACGATTCTAATGGATTCACAAGTTTCAAAATCAATGTTCTAAAGCAGCAGTTCTCAATCCTGTTCCTCGCGTCGACCTGCTCTGCATCTCTCTCTCATTCAGATCACCAGCTCAGCTCAAACAATGAACTGTTCCATTTATACACTTATTTTCACATAGCTATGAGAAGACGCGCGCGTGGTTGCCGTACTGTATTAAAGTTTTAATCAGGAAAAAAACATATATTAAAAGCTAACAGAAGCAGTAGCATTTATAAATAACAGCGTATCTAAAAAAAAAACCTTTAAGAGCCGTGCTTGCCAGAGGCAGACAGTAGTGAAGTATTTTTACTCTGCTGTAAAAGTACTTTTCAGGTGTCTGTACTTTATCAGAGTGTTTTTCTTTAGAAAACTTTACTTCACAACATTCCAAAGCATAATATTGTACTTTTTACTGCACTACATTTCATATTAAATATCATTTAATACTTAATTACATTAGAAATCTATTACTTTCTTACTTTTACTCAAGTAAAAGTAATTCAAAGATTTACTTGAGTACAAGAAAGTACTAAATTTTTTATGTTCTTAAGTATTAAAGGAAAACAAACAACAACTTTTATTTATGAAATGCAGTAAAAAGTATGACATTATGCTTTGGATTGTAGTGAAGTAAAGTTTTCCAAAGAAAAACATTCTGATAAACTACAGATACTTTTTAAATTTACTTGAGTAAAGTAAAAATACTTCACTACTGTCCGCCTCTGGTGCTTGCACAGTTTCTGCGCGATCCTCTTCACTAATATCCTCTGCATCTCAATCGGGCTCAAATTGATAAGCAATATAGATGACGCCATTGTTTACAATACAACCGGAGCACATGCCGCTGAGGTGAGGGGCAGGACGTTTAGACGCACACTAGAGGCGGTTTACCCAATCACAACACACTGGACCATCTAACCAATCAGAGCCCATCGCATATTTCTGAGGAAGGGGCTTCATAAAAGCAGGAAATGATCAGTGCGTTTTCTTAAAAACAAAGCATTAACACGTTAGACTGCACTCCATAAACACAATCAAGCCTAGAAAAAAACAGTCAACCACCCCTTGAAGAAATCTGCCAGTGCAGTAAGACAAAATACACGTGTGTTAAATATGTACTCCCTGAAAACCAGTCTTGTCAAGAAATAGTTTTTAAACACATTTTAACTGTAAAATTATTATTGTTTTTTTGTTTTGCAGGGACAGTGCACATAAATAAACATTACTGTAAATGTGCTATTATTCAGCTATAGTTCCCCTGTAAAGAAAGTCGTAAAACAAATGTAAAATTTAAATTATGAAATAATTCAAATGATAAACATGCCAAAAAATGCATTTTTGTTCTAGAAAGTATTTGTTTTATATTTTTATCACAATTTTTTCCTTGTTTTTTAATAAACATCTAAGCATCCTTAAAACCGTATATTTGCTAGAAAACTACAAAATTGTGCTTTGATTTTCAGGGTGTTTACGCAACAATGTACTTAAAATGGAGACGTTTTTCCTTTACTTTTTTCACATACAGACCAAAACTATTTCAAAACGTCCTGTTCACACGATGTCACTTTGTAAAAAAACAAAACCAAAAAAAACCTGTTATGCTCCTGCGCACATACATATAGACTAAACATGTAATATGTATGCGCATGACATCATCAATTTCACTAATTCTCATTTTGGTAGATTACATGGAGACAATAATGATACCATTTTCAAAAACGTGCACTTTGAAACCCGTTTTTCAAAGGTTTGCGTTTTTAGGCCCCCAAAACGCATTGCCGTGTAAATGAATGCCCAAAAAGTATAAAAAGTTTTCTGTGTTTAGTTAAAAATGGTGTCATGTAAGATTTTAAGAATTGTTTTCAGAGAACATATTATCCAATTTTTTTCTTCTACTAACATAAATCTAACAAAATCTTGTGAGGTTTATGCTTTAAACAGGATCTGTTTTACCCATGGGGTAAGACATTAATTCAAGATATTTTCTCAAATCAAGTCTAATAATATCTCATGCAAATTTGCTCTCAATTCAATGCATTTTGTTTTAAAGATACTGAGATTTTTTTTCCCTCTAAAACACAACATAAATACATAAAGATAATGTTTACAGCATATATCTGAGCAGCAGCTTCATAAGATATGAAATGTTTATCATATATAATCGTAATGTATTTTAGCTCTCCGGTTGAGTTTCCAGGTCACAATAGTAATTCAACGGGTGTTGGTGTCTTTGCACCTTTATAGATGGAAGCACATTGCCATAGTAACAGCTTGGGTGGGCACACCTGATAATAACGGGTGTGAACGAGAAAGCAGAGAAGCCCATTGTTTCTCGCCTTTTCAGTTGCATTTTTTTCTCTTTTCGTCTTTAATTCTCTCTTTTCCTCTTCTATTTATGTGTGCCTGGTGGATACGCAGAGCTCCACATTTTAATTAGCATCGAACTTTCTGTTGAGACCTGAAGAGAGTGAATCATCAAAGGCTCGTTTTTGTTTATTCCTCTGTGCTATTCTCTGCAAAGTTTGTCTCCAGAACTCTGATGAGACAAACTGTTCCCCTCGCGGCAGTTTGGAAGTTACCCATTAGCCTTGGGGAAGAAGAGGAGTAAACACTTTCATTCTTGGTAAAAGCATATCTCTCCCCACTCGCAAAGCGCATGAGAGACACAGGAAGGTTCTTTGTCACAGTCAAGGCCTCGTTTGACATAGACTTTATAAGTCCTGTGATTCCCTGCCATAAAAACCCGGAGGTCTCCACAACCTGTGTCAAAACAAGCTCCGCGACAAGCCAGTCAGAAAGAAAAGAGAAGCGTTTTGTTTAATCTTCCTGTATTTACTGGTCCGGCTGTATTCGTTGGCACAAACTCAAACAAAGGTGGGTTTATTCTGTTTAGCTTTTGCACTTCCATATATTTATTATACACACCCATATTTTTCCCCTACTTAAGAAACGGGCTCTCTCCTGCGGGGTGTTCCAGGTATGAACATCAACAAGGATCAAACAACTCAATCTGTGTGTGTTCATGTATGCCCAGTCTAACGTGACCTGAAGGGAGCACACAGCTTCTGTTCTCAGCGCTGAGAGCTGAAAGTGAAATTCTTGCATTGAACCGTGTTCTCCGTTAGCGCTTCAGGGCTGTATGATAGCTATGAGCATGGCAAAATGTCTTCCTGAAAACATTTCATATTTGCTCAGTCAATATATAAAATATTAAATGTATGCATTTGATTCCCAGGAAATGCATGAAGTAATGTAAATTATTCAGTTAAAGGGTTAATTCACTGCTGGCAAGATGGGGTTTTAATAAAAGTTGGTTGTCTATACAGCAGAAATTTTTTTTTGGGGTGCTTCATGACTAGGGAAAACCGATAAAAAATTGCTGTGGTGAAAGGTGGAAAAACTTCAACACCCACAATGCACTGGGCTTGTTCAGATTATCTGTGAGTGGAGATTTAAAAAAATGCGTAAGTACGATCTGTAAATTTTACAGAAACTCTGGCACTGTGAAAAGCACGCTGGATGATCTGGAGGACTTCTGCTAACAAATAAATAGGGATATCTTGGTAACACGGAAAAATACATATATATATATATATATATATATATATATATAGTGGGTACGGAAAGTATACAGACCCCCTTAAATTTTTCTCT